GCCCAGAAGCACCAGGTGTTTTCTTGCACGCACGCGTGAAGCTTTGTTGGCACATCAGCTTGTCAAGAATAAACTGTTGTGGCGGAGCCCGGAGAGCTGAGGTCCGATAGCACGCGGCTGGGGGCAGAGAGCATCGCTCAGCCCAGCTGCCGGCGAGAGCCCGTGTGAGGAGGACTGACAAACTCGAGGTTAATTTGCTCTCGGATTTCTGCCTTTCCCTGCTCCCGTGGTTGCAGCCAAAGCCACCGGAGAGCAGAGCGCGTGGTGTTTGTGCCTCCGCCCCGCCTGCCTGCGGAGAATCGCGGCTCTGTGCGTGTGAGCAGTGCGGGCGTTTGATGTGCCCGCTCCGTCCCCGCACTCATCTCTGCTCCCCGCGTCTTTGTGTGCCTGTCCTCGGCAGTCGGGGAGGGAGAGCCACGAAAAGGGTGGCTCAGGGCACACGCGAGTGAGCAGCAGGTGAACCTCAGAGGGCTCGCTTTGGGTTTTCCTCCAAACCTCTTTGATCACAAACCCAGCTCTTTATCCCCCCGAAGCGTGCCCCGGGGGAAGGCTTCCCGGAGGTGTGCAGTGATTAAAAGGAAAGATTCCTGCTCCTGTGACCACCTGCTCTTCAGCTTAGCAGGTATTGACATATATCAAAAGCAGATTTTTAATCTCGGAGTCAGTTTAGTTTGACGTTTGTGGCAGGATTTCAGGGTCAATTGTCACTTTACCCCATCATGACTGTTCGTTCACGTTGAAGAGAGATCTTCCCTTTGGAAGATCCTTTTCAGCATGTGGTACATTCCCTTTTGTAGAGAGCCTGGCTTGCTTTAGGGTAGGCAGTAGTTAAATCGAGAAATACAACCTGGTTTTTATCCAGCATACTTGTTTAACTAAAAAAGATTCATAAAGAACCGTATTTCTGTGAAAACCTTTGTCTCCCCAGTCTCATTTTGGAGTCTGAAGAATGCCTGCTGTTGCCTGAGAAACACCCGGTACAATTAAATACGGAGTCGTCGTTGGGGAGTCCATGAGCTCGAAGCGAGCCGGGATGTCGTTGGTGCAGTCGGGCTTTCTTAGCTTATCTGGGCAGGATTTACTTGGTGAACGCTCACTGCAATTCTGCGAACACCGCTCATGTTGCATGTCTAATCTGTCATGAATGCAGAGGGGGAGCGGGGAGGCTCGTTTCTTCTTCTTCCCTCGCACGTATTCATTATAGGGAAAGCTGGAGAGTTTGGTGGAGTTATTTGAGATAGTTAAAGATCGCCTGTTTGCTTTCTGCCAGTACTCTTATGAAGATTAGGTTTCTGGTTAGGATAAAGTGTGGTGTTAAAGCAGCATCTGTATCTCCGTGGGAGCGACGTGTGCTCCTTGGAGAGCTGCCGGTTGCCTGGAAGACCCCTTCCACTCAGAGCTGCCCTAGTTCTGCTCCGCAGGTGTCCTTGGTCTCGAGATGTGGCGTAGCGATGCAACGTGAGCGTGTGGCTTGCCAGGGCTGGAGCTGGCTGGTGGGCGACCTGGGAGCTCCTTCCGCCTCTGTCCCGCTCCGGCGTGCGGCGATGCGTCTAAGCAGGGACCCAGCCGCAAAACCAGCTCAAGTTAAGCAATTACTCCTGAAACCCAGAGAGATGATAGCAAGATTTTGGTTTTAACCTATCCTGACTGTGAAGTACAAAGACACCGGTTCATGGCAGTGCTCTGCTGGGGTACTGCAGAGGCAGGAATGTACCCAGAAGTATCTGCAAAGAGAACTAAAACATTTATTAAGACTATTTAACCAAGGGTCATTTCATATTCATTTTGTTCCAAAGCAAATGGGAAGAAAATTCACAAGTGCCATTTAAGAGCAAAGCTCATTTCTGAGCACCTATTAATCTTAAAACAGAACAGGAATGTGGAGTTCCACTCCAAATGGAAAAGCATTTTCTCCCATCTGTAGTCTGCCCACAGACGTGCAAACACACCCTCAGCTACGTGAGCTCTGGATTTGCCCCCTGCCCTTGGTGCTCGCTGAGCCCGGGGGTGCTGTCTGTCGCTGTGCCTCTTCCTAGGCAGCACTGCTGGCCCCAGGCGCGGCGGCCGTCACCCGTGGCTGGGGAACGCTGCGGGCCGTGGGCCGCCGTCTCGCCCCGTGTGTTACAGGCGTGCCCGACCCGAAGCCCCGCGCCGCGTGCTCTGCT